AGAGAGAGAGAGAGAGAGAGAGAGAGAGAGAGAGAGAGAGAGAGAGAGAGAGAGAGAGAGAGAGAGAGAGAGTCCTGCTGCACTGACCGCTGCTTTCCATACCTCAGCCCCCTTGAAACTCTGCTGACTCCAGCCGCCCATCTGGGTCTGGGTCTGGGGATGGGATCAGGGTCTTGGTCTGGGTCCAGGTCTGGGCCTGGGTCGAAGAAGAAAAAGGGGAGACCCCAGAACCAGAAATACATCACCTTTTGCAGCAAGCGCCAGAAGCTGCTGCAGTGCTGAGAAAATGTGCTGTGGAAATGCAGTTTGAGGTGTTGGAGGGAGAGTTTGCCAATCGGCACTCTGCCATGAGCCTGGAGCTTTTCAATGAGGAAGTCCAGATTTATGGCCTTGGTCCAAATGTTCACACACATGCTGTATTCTTGGATTTTCTTCAACTAGAAACCTACTGCAGTCTGCAGCCACATGATGTCTTTTCCACCTCTCCCCCTCCCCATCATGCCTTTCCTCCACCCACGGAATATGGCCTCACTTCAGTGACTTCAGTACTCTGGAAATCCGGTTTCTCAGAGTACGTCGTCACTCCACCTCGCAAAAAAAAGGATGGGGAAATATGTTTCGAGACTTGAGAGTTGTTAGAATTAGTTTCTACTACTTTCTGGAGGACTCTCCAAAATTTTACAGAATCCCCTGCGTGTAACCCTGGGAAGGTTGAGGGATGTCAGTGCGAGTATAAAATTAGAGGGTCCCCCTGGGTGTAACACTGTAACCATTGAATGATTGATAGAGGTCAGCCAATCTCTCCAAAATCACTTGATATCTCAACAGTCAACGTGATGTTGGGGCCGATCTGTAATATTTTTCTTCGTCTTCATCTTCGCTGGCCAATGGCCATACTCAGCAGAACATGTTCGATAGCTAGGATAACTGGGATGCCCTTGGGACAGCTGGGTGACATGCCCGGGTCAACCCGGCATGTTAAAAGTCTGAAATTTTTATTTTTTTTTCCTTTTCCTGTAGTGGGAGCATTTCTGCACCCCCTGAAAGCAGCCTCAGGGCCTCGCCACACCACTCTTGAAACAATGAAAAGTTTCAAGAGGTGTCAGACTTTCTCAAGGGTTGGGTTTTCAAGAGTTTTGGGGCCTTTGTCACACAGCTCTCTTGA